TCGAAATTCTCAAACTTTCAAACATGTATAACATTTTCAAAATTGTTAAACTTCCAAAATCCATTAAGTTTCAATCAGAACTTACAATTTCTTGATACAATAATAATCCTGAGAAATTCTGAAGGGATTTACCTATGAAATTATGAGGTTCCCTGTCACATTTTAAATTCTACGAAATACAGTCTAATATAATGGCCTTCGCAATAATAATAATGTCAAGGGAGCTTTAGAATTTTTGGATTTTCGGAATCACTTATTTCCAAATTATAAATTACCACGTTCGTAAATTCTCAAGTTTCTGAATCTTACAGGACTTGCAAATTTTCAATTTCTCAAACTTCCTTCACATATCCCGAATTCTTAAATCTATAATTTCTCAAGTCCCTGAATTGCTAAATTTCTAAACTTTTAAGTCTATTTCGAGATCCCTAGATTCTTGGACCCTCAGATCCCTCGATACCTGCTTCCCTACATTCCTAGATCTCTAAATTCAAATCTCCAAACTCAAATCTATAATTTCTCAATTCCCTATATCTCAAACCCCCTAATCCTCAAATCCTAAAATTACATATCTCCAAACCTATAAATCCTAAAATTACATATCCCCAAATCCTCAAATCCCAAAATCACATATCACCATATCCTCTGTCCACTTCCTAAATCCCCAAATTCTCAGTTCTCCGAATCTCAACCCTTTAATTTCCCAAATCTCTAATCTAAATCCCAAAATCACTTATCCCCAAACCCTCTATCCACCTCCTAAACCCCCAAATTCTCAGTTCCCCAAATCTCCACCCCCTAACTTCCCAAATCTCTAATTCAAATCCCAAACCTCTCAAACCCCCAAATCCTCAAATTCCAAAATGACCAAAATCCCAAAGTGACCAAAATCCTAAAATCACATATCCCCAAACTCTTTATCCACCTCCTAAACCCCCAAATTCTCAGTTCCCCAAATCTCCACCCCCTAACTTCCCAAATCTCTAATTCAAATCCCAAACCTCTCAAACCCCCAAATCCTCAAATTCCAAAATGACCAAAATCCCAAAGTGACCAAAATCCCAAAGTGACCAAAATCCCAAAATCACATATCCCCAAACTCTCTATCCACCTCCTAAACCCCCAAATTCTCAGCTCCCCAAATCTCAATCCCCTAACTTCCCAAATCTCTAATTCAAATCCCAAACCTCTCAAACCCCCAAATCCTCAAATTCCAAAATGACCAAAATCCCAAAGTGACCAAAATCCCAAAGTGACCAAAATCCCAAAGTGACCAAAATCCCAAAGTGACCAAAATCCCAAAGTGACCAAAATCCCAAAGTGACCAAAATCCCAAAGTGACCAAAATCCCAAAGTGACCAAAATCCCAAAGTGACCAAAATCCCAAAGTGACCAAAATCCCAAAGTGACCAAAATCCCAAAGTGACCAAAATCCCAAAGTGACCAAAATCCCAAAGTGACCAAAATCCCAAAGTGACCAAAATCCCAAAGTGACCAAAATCCCAAAGTGACCAAAATCCCAAAGTGACCAAAATCCCAAAGTGACCAAAATCCCAAAGTGACCAAAATCCCAAAGTGACCAAAATCCCAAAGTGACCAAAATCCCAAAGTGACCAAAATCCCAAAGTGACCAAAATCCCAAAGTGACCAAAATCCCAAAGTGACCAAAATCCCAAAGTGACCAAAATCCCAAAGTGACCAAAATCCCAAAGTGACCAAAATCCCAAAGTGACCAAAATCCCAAAGTGACCAAAATCCCAAAGTGACCAAAATCCCAAAGTGACCAAAATCCCAAAGTGACCAAAATCCCAAAGTGACCAAAATCCCAAAGTGACCAAAATCCCAAAATCACATATCCCCAAACTCTCTATCCACCTCCTAAACCCCCAAATTCTCAGCTCCCCAAATCTCAATCCCCTAACTTCCCAAATGTCTAATTCAAATCCCAAACCTCTAAAACCCCCAAATCCTCAAATCCCAAAATGACCAAAATCCTAAAATCCCAAAATCCCAAAATACAAAAGTCAACAGAAGTTGCAATCTATACAATAAAATTTGAGACAAATCAGAATTGATCGATACACGCGAACATGCATGAAAGGAAGAGCAGATGGGTAGGTGGCACGCGTGTAATTCGACGCGGAGCCAACAGCGAAATACTTGGGCGGAATTAGTAATTAAGTGCTCGAGACAATTCCGGAAGCGAGTCACCGTGACGGTCTGTAATTGCCGGACACTGGGGGGATTTCAATTCGGTCGCGGCGAGGATTTGCATACTTTGTGTTTTGTATGCGACTCGCATACTAGTCTGCTCGGTATTACGAAATTCGGTCGCGACGCGAATTTCTCTCTCGAACGTCGTTATAAACGAGTTACGTCCGTTCCTAGGACGTCGTTATGAGTTCCACGTTTCGTCGAACCGTTGCTCGCTTATGGACGTCGGTGACGAGAGACAATGATCGTTTCTGTCGTTGACGTTTTCGATTCGGAGCTTGACACCGATTAATACCGTTCTTTTCCGTTACCCTTCCTTTCCGTTAAACTGATTAATATCGCATTATCCTCGCGTTTGTTCTTTCCGACTTGGCGTCGTGTCACAGGAAATTTTCGATCTTCCCTGTCCGCGCGGTGCGCGCGCAGCCTGCGCCTCGCTCGCGAGCTACGGGGAATTGAATTTAAGATAAATGAATTTTTAATTAACACACGGCCACGGGGAGTGCCGATCGATAGGTAAATTTTAGAACGTACGCCTCGCGTGGTCGTCGAGTAAAATTGCAATCATCGTTCAAATTGAACCAGCTGAATTCTATGGAACAATACACGACTTTCGTTCTTTCAGCTTTTTTCCCTGTCGCTCGTACATAATAGGTTATTGCAAATTAAAGCGTACAACTTCTATATACCACATCTTTAGGTTCTTTTATCACTGGACCTTCTTTGATCGCTAGATTGTATCGCCGCACTGTAGATACCTGTACTCCAAATCCATACATTATTATCATACACTATAAAACAATATTATTCCTACATTAGAAGATTTGTAGATCTCATTCCTTCTAAATGGCAATTTCCTTAGATGCCTTCTATACCAATTAGCCTAAAATATCCCTAGACACCAATTTCCGTAGATCCCAATACCGCTAAACCCCAATCTCGGTAAACCTTAATATCGCAGTCTCACTAGATTGCAATAACACTGGATCCTAATATTTCTGAATCTCTGCTTCACTGGGGACCCTTACACTTCAATTTGCTGTACATGTCCAGATCCCTGTATCCGCAGCTCCCCAATCCACATATCTCTAAATCCAAATATCCTATCTTTCGTCACCTGCTTGTATTCTCTAATCCCTATATCCCTAGCTCGCACTTTACACCCCTATTATTCCAAATTCTTACATCCACATACTCCTACATCCCAAACTTCATAGAACCCTACTACTTTCGCAAGAATATCCAACTAGACATCTGATCCTAAATTGTAGAACTTCCAGATATCCACAATACATTCACTCTAAAATACTCTGAGTCTTGTGTTACTCTGAATCTGTTTCTTGCTCAAATTATTATCTAATATAGTCGTCGATCTCGATAGTTCAATATCATGATGTCTCCTTCTAACTTCCAATCGTCCACACAACAGATTCTCTCCGTTCGCAGTGAAATTGAACTACACTCGAAGTTTCTTTTGCCACCGTACGAATACCGTCGACAATTAAACTGCACTCTCGACGGGAGTGGCCTGGCCGGAGTTATTAGCCTGAAGTAGCTTCTAACGATGTAAGAGCCGAGCACTTGCTGACTCGTGTTTTCGCACCCCTGATCAAAGCGTTATGTCGAAGTACCACGTGTCTGATACACTTCGAGTAGGATAACTTGGCCGACGTGGTAGCTGCCGCGGCTCGTTCGTTCGACAATCGCGATAACCGGAGCGTTTAATCAATTCTGAAACTCGATCAGCTATAGCGTGATTAAAACGGCGCATTGTGAACTACCCAGACTCCATCATTTTAATTACGGGATACACTCTTTCTATTGTAAATAAAGATTTCCACGATTACATCTTGTCGTTATTATTTATATCGCATTGTACTGATATGTTACCTCATCTGTTCACCTCGTATGCGAAGTACAACGTGGTACAACGGTATAACAAGGTACAGTCAGACAGTTATTCCTGTAACAGGTATTACAGTCAGACAGGTATTACAAGTATCTCTTAAGGTACAGTCAGGTATCTATAAGGATTAATTTACTACTGGGAGGTATTTATGCAGGTACCTCAAAAGTAAGTGCTAAGTACAGTCAGATACACATGTCAGAATTAAGTGACTGATAGAAAGTTTCAGATATTGCTTATTATTATTTATACCAGGTTTGACAAAAACCTTTTATTTGTTCTTCTTTGTTCTTTCATTCATATGTTCTTATAGACATTGTCAGTTATATATCAGTGTAAGTACCATAGTGCTAGGTCATTTAAAAAATGCTTGTATATTTCTTTTGTACAGACTTGTTTCAAAGTGGACTTTGAATACGTTCATCTCAAAAATAACTAAATCTATTTGTAACATAAACATGGAAGAAATTATATTGTATTTCGAACTAACATATTTACCCGACAATTTCCCAATAATTAAAACGAAATTCGCGTACCGCTCCGTTTCGAGTTACCATCATGAAACAAGACTCGACAGCAAACCGCGGTGGAACACGAAACTCTATCAAATAAATTTAATACAAAAAGCTTCGACTGATTCAATAATCGTCAAAGCGAAAGACGCGTCAGAAAAAAAATAACGAAGAATGGGAGGCGTTTCCCGAGCATGCATTTTATCAAGTTCGACACGAAATATGCAAAAATGGAGGAACGAGATTTATGGTTAGCGCAATTAAACTGTCGCGCGTGTCGACGAGCAACGATTGCGACGGGGGCCCGTCGTTTTTCCGCAATCAGTCGGACAGATTTATGCGAATTTTCCAGCGTTGACCGTTCGTTTTGTTCGCAGGTGCAGTCGCGGCGGTGACATCCGCGGGCGGTCACGGGTTCGACGCACATTTACGGGGACCCAGTTTCGTCATCGAGCCACCGTCGAGGGTGGAATTTTCAAATTCGAGCGGAGCCTGGCTGGACTGTACGGCAACGGGAAGTCCACCGCCCAACATCGATTGGTCGACCGCGGACGGACATCCGGTGAACGACGTATCGGGAGTTCGAAGGGTGCTCAGGAATGGCACGTTGGTCCTTTTGCCGTTTCCGGCGGCAGCCTTCCGACAGGATGTGCACAGCGCTGCCTATAGATGCGTCGCGAGCAATTCTGTTGGCAGGGTGCTCAGTCGTGATGTACAGGTCAGGGCAGGTAAGGAAATTCACGCATTTAAATATGGTACTCTAAACAAAAACAAGTACTTTAGTACTGAAGCGCTATTCTACATATGTACTTTATGTACTTTAACCCTTTGTGCTCCAGAGGTGCCTCTCAAGCACCATTCGGTTTAATACAATAATTTAAAACAAGTATTATTTAATTAATTCTATAATAGTGCTCATGTGATGTATAAACATAATGAAATAGACAATAGTGGAAATTATTAGTGGAGAAGTAATAACCTCAAAAGAACTCATTTAACATTTTAATTAATATTTTAAAGTTGCTGTTTACATACAATAAAATTATCTTCGAGTGCAAAGAGTTAACATTTAAATTAATATTTTAAAGTTGCTGTTTGCAAACAATAAAATTATCTTCGAGTGCAAAGGGTTAACATTTAAATTAATATTTTAAAGTTGCTGTTTGCAAACAATAAAATTATCTTCGAGTGCAAAGGGTTGATATATACTTGACGTGTATATATATGTACTTTGTATATATTTATATATGTTTACATATGTACTTTAATATGTACTTTACTAAAGGCTCAAACCTTTTCACCAACCTGCTGAATCGCAATACAGATCAGATTTCTAAATTACTAAACTCCTGAAGCACTAAATTCCTGAGACACCAAATGGCTCAATCACCAAATTCCTAAATAACCAAATCTCTACATTTTCACTTATAAAAAATCTCCATTAACATCTCTATCCCCATTGCTCTCCCCATCGAAACCACTGATCATCCCCTAACCTACCCATCTAAAACACCCCGTCTAAAACAACCATCCACCTTCCCTACAAATCTATCCTACGTATTTTAACCTCGAACCTAAATCAACCCAAAGCCGCAAATACCCAGCTCCCCGTATTAGAATAAAAACGACGTCCATTACCCGCGACGCAAAATGTCGGAAAATGTTTTCGAGCGGTTGAGGATAACAACGTGGAAGATGTTTCGTCGTTTCTGGAAGCACGCGCTGTCGGCACGTTCTTAATCGTGGCAAAAGAAAAATGCATCGTTCTCCGACGGAAACGTTCAACAGGAACAAATCCCGGCGAAATGGGGTGAAACAGAATCGCGATGCTTTCTCGCCGCTGAATTTCCCTCGTCTCGCGACGAATCAGCTTGCAATGGGCCGAGAAAACTTCGACTCGGACCAGCGGAGCCACACCGGGATAGAAATTTCTTTCGTTAAACCGAAAGCAGGAAGTAAAGTTTTAATTAACGGCCACACGTCCGGGCCAGAACTTTATAGCCGCGAGGGAGTAGTTGGCAATCCTGAAAGCGTCGGGTCGACCTCGCAGCTGCCACGGATTTGCATTCAGATTGCATTTTTTTTTTTTTTAAGAGGTAATTACACCGGGCTTCGCGTGATGCCCGCCATAGAAGCACCGGTCTCATCTGCATCCGGCCAGGTTTAAAACATCCTTCAGGACTTAGATTTCTCTTTCTTCGGAAACATTTGCTTGCTTTGTAAATGGTTTAATTGCTGGGTGTACCTTCATGCACTTCGTTGGTATCGATTTTTTAATTGCTACTTGAGAAGATGTACAAATATTTGGTTGTATACTTTAGTGTAAAAATATCAAATTTAAGAAATTTCGAAAGTTTAAGAACCAATTATCAAATTATGAATTCAATCTATGTAACCTATGGATATTCAGTTCGTATAACTTCTCAGAACCTAGTCAAACGATGAATTAAACAATAATTAAGAATGCAACAATAGTTTAGAGCGATCAATTGAATGTAAGCAAGTTTTAAGTGGAAAGTTCTTATATCTGCTCGTCTACCGACTGGCATTCACTTTCCTCGCAGGCTTTCAAGCAATTTGATATAAAGGTTCGAAGTGAATCGAAAAGCGTTCAAAGATGTGGAGTAAACCGAGGAGCTAGATGACTTCGAAAGGATTGCAAGTTTGAAAACTTTTAAAACAGACTAGATCGAGGGACCTCTAACTATCATAGAAATATGATAAATTACTTTCTGAGAGCTTCCAGACTAGAACTCCACGTTCTGCAAATTCGATAATCTAAAATCAGGAGTTAAATCGAATGGAAATTCGTTCTGATTTCTGCCACGATTCATCAGAAGCTGGTTTTCGGTGTTAGGATCAATGAGACTCTATTTTAGGTTATGGCGCTAAAATTGAAAAGTGAGAGTGGTTCTGATGTTTCAAAATTTAAAGGTATTTAAATTTTCACATTTGGGTTCTCTAATTAACAAATTGTTAAATTTATAAATTATCAGATTTGCAAATTTCTGTTGGGTCTCCAGGTTCTCAAATTATTTTAATCCCCGTGTGGATGTTCGACTTTAATTTTCTGAATTAAGTCAAATTTACTCTCCCATATTGAATATTACAAATGTAAATGCAGTTATCTTTCGCTTTTGAAATTTCACGAATGTTTAAACAGCATTATCCGCAGTTAAATTCAAAAGCCAGTTTCCACCTTTACTCTCTCCAACCAGACGCTCTCTGTAAAAGATTAATAATCTGAATTTGATACTGAAAGTGTTCATATGATTCACTAATATACCTTGACCTTTTATTCTCTACATAACCCTTTACATATATTAACCATATGCACTTGAAAATATTTTTGCTGTTGACAGTCAGTGAATTTAAAATTTTTTATTTAAGAAACTCGACATACTTTGCAGTTATTTTACCCTTATCGATTTTCACTAATGTCCACCTCACTATGTTGATACATCACACACATAAAACCATAGATTCAAAAAATACTTCAATTTGTATTAAACTGAGACCTCGTAAAAAAAATTGGCAATGCATTGAAGATATATGCGACGTTGAATTAACATAGGGGTTGAAAGGGTTAACATATTCGCGCAGCACATCGAAACAAACGTAGAGAAATAAAGCAGAGGAAGGCGAATGTTGGCCGTCGGTTAGCCGGTGAAAGATGGCAAGGGAGAAGAAATTCAGCGTTACGAAGCAGAACACGGGAGAGTCTTCGTCGGCGTCGCGACGTCGGCGTGTCAGACTGCAGCGTCGCTGGCAGCTGGCCGTCGCCCTTGGAATTTCCACGTAAATAAAATCTCCGGAAGAGTATAGTGGCTCTCGAGCGGCTGGGCGACGGTAGAAACAAAAAAGGAAAGGAGAAAAACGACCGACAGACGTCGAGGACGAGGCGTTCGTTACGCTCGCGTCGCCTCACGCCTCGCCGCTTCCCCGACGCCGACGTCGAGATTCACCCGGGTTGTCGACGACGAGTAACGTCGACATGACACCCTGTACATAAAGCTACATACGTGTCTGCCCTCCTGTCACTGTGATCGTGCGTGCGTGCAACTGCCCGATAGTACACTCGGTGCTACGTAGGCTTACCTAGGATAACGATTTATGTTTATGCAAATCTGATAGGTTGCAGGTCTCAAATTTTTTTAATTTCTAGCCTTGCAATTTTTCGTGTTTTTAAATTTTATTCATAGGGAAGTTTGAAATTATTGAAAATTGTACTTGAAAATTTTTAGGTTCTTAATATCTCAAATTAGTTAAATTTAAAAAATTTCTCAAGTTTCCTTAATTTCTCAAATTCCCAAGTATCTCAAGTTTTTAAAAATTGTCGTTTTCCAAATTTCTCAAATTTCTCAAATTTCTAAAATAGCTCAAATTTCCCAAATTGCTCAAATTTCTCAAATTACTCAAATTTCTCAACTTGCCCGAACTGCTCATATTTCCCAATTTTCTCAATTTTCTCAAATTTCTCAAATAGCTAAAATTTCTCAAATTGCTCAAATTGCTCAAATTGCTCAAATTTCTCAATTTTCTCAAATAGCTCAAATTTCCCAAATTTCCCAAATTTCCCAAATTTCCTAAATTTCCCAAATTTCCTAAATTTCCCAAATTTCTCAAATTAGCTAAATTTCCAAATTCCCAAATTCCACCCCAAAATTCCTACACTCCCAAATTGTCCACCCATTCCTAAAACATCAAATCTCAAAATATCCCCAAATATCTCCTAATTTCTTCAAACCCCGATTTCCCCGAATTCCTAAAAAAATTCCTCAAAATCCTTCCAATACTAAAAAATGGAATACACGCCCTTTCCTAGGTTGCCATCTTTTCGCCATGGAAAGCAAATTTGCTCTCGACTGTACGTGCGTGTAATCGTCGGTTAACGTGTAAGCGTGTGGGGGTATAAGTGCGTGTGCAAACGCGTAGGCGAGTGCGTGTACACGTGTGAACCGATGGAAAAGCGACGCGCGCGTGGTTGCCCGCACTCTACGGCAAATTGCGTAGAACGCGTTTTAATTACCGTCACTGTGAACTATCGTTCTGCGGGACTATCCGGATAGCCATGTCGAGCAGGTCGAAAGTTTGAATTAATGTTGCTCCCTGGTTCTCGTTAAAGACTCCCCTCCGTTGGTAATGCGGTGACGCGTAACACCGGGAAGCACGTTTATGGCGTTTCAAAAATACCGCTTTTTATTTCGGTGGATAAAAACCGAATAAAAGAACAGCTTCTTTTGGGTGTCTTCTCCCTCATTAATTTTTGGTGTACTTCGTAATTCGTGTTAATTAAGGTTTCGTGGGAGGATTCAGGATGATCTGGGTGTTGTGGAATTTGTTTATGAGAGATGACAATTTGCTTGGGTTAATTTAATTGTTGATGGGATAGGTTGTGTTTAGTTATTAATTAATTTTGTTAACTTATGTATATTAATTTCGATGTAATATCTGTTTGACTAATTGATGATCATTGGTATGTCAATAGTATTATATTGTACAAAATTATTTGCTAATGCAATTGAAACGTATATATTAATAATTATTAACTAACTCAAAATTTGTTAAAATTGTCATGTTCTCAAAAGCAACGTAGCACCGAATATAGTTTATCCTTTTTAACAAAATTATCACCTGATTCTACCATCGATGCCACAACATTTTAAAGGCTTTCCAAAATAGTGTTGCCATTTGAAAATATCGCTTGAAAATCATCAGCTGCACATGCATTAATAGCTTCTACATCAATAGCGATGCAATATCAATTTCAATTAGTTCAAAGAGACGGATGTAATGGCTGATTATATTTGCTTTAATGCGGAATTGACTGAGGGACTGATTAAACAGTAAACAACATAATTGAAGGATGAAATTTGTCAATAGTAAATATGAACTGTAATGTTTAGTCAGCAAACTTGACATTTAAAATTTATTCTATTTTATAATTTTCAGTAAACTGTCTTACGTAAATAACATATCGAGACATATTCACCGATCGATCCACAATTCAAACATGAGATACTGAATGGTATTTATAGTACAAGTATATTTGTGCTTCTAGAATAACAATTAAGATTAAACTTTCTAGACTTTCAATTAATAATAGGTTTTAATTATTCAAGAATTCCAGACGGGTTTAAAGATTTAAAATATAATTGTCTATCTGGTTTATGATAGATCATCTAAGGCTTTTGAATAATTACTTCAATCAGAAAACGATATGAAGTTTGGTATAAAAGCTTGATGTGGTTCGTTTTGAAACTGTGTCGATCCAAGATAATTATAAGTTAATCGATATAATTAAGAATTGGAAGTGAAGAGAATATTTGTGTGTTTACAGTGGTGGCTCAGGCGTATAAAGTCGACGTGGAAGTGATCGGGGGTGCTTCAAGGGGATGCACCGCAGTGTTACGATGCGTCGTTCCTAGCTTCGTGAAGGATTTGGTGCGAGTTGTGTCCTGGTTACAGGAACCATCCTTTTACATCTACCCCTCGCTACAAGGAGGTAAGACATCCTTTCATACTTTTCAGTAACTTGCAATTAGGGGACTTTGCGAAATTGTGAACTTGGGAATTTGGGGATTGGTTATTTTAGAGTTTAGAGGTTTGGGGATTTAAGGATTTAGGGATTTGGGAAAATGGGAACTTGGGAATTTGGGAGATTGGTCATTTCAGGATTTTGGAATTTGGGGATTGGTCATTTAGGGATTTAGGGATTTAGAGAGTTAGAGATTTTAGGAGTTAGGGATTTAGGGAGATAGGGGTTTAGGGAGTTAGGCATTTAGAGAGTTAGGGAGTTAGGGATTTAGGGGGTCAGGGATTTAGAGGATTAGGGATTTGGGAATTTAGAAAAATGGAAACTTGAGAATTTGGGTGATTGATAATTTCGGGAATTAAAGACTTGGGGATTTAGGAATTTGGGAATTTGGCCACTCAGAAACTTGATAATTTCAAGATTTAGAAATTTAGGGATTTCAGAATTTAAAAATTTGAGTACTAGGATATTTTACAACCTTGACATCTGAGTACTTCAAAATTTGTAAACTCAAACTCAAACGAAAATGCACATAACCTAAGAACCTAAACAAATATCTCTCTTCTACATCATCCCTATAGAAACTTCCACCATCCTCTCATCAACCTTAAAACTATAAAAAGTGCAAAAGGTCCAAAATCTGTGAAAATCAATACCGCAAAAATAAAAGTCTGACGGCGTTGAAGCACGCTAGGAAAAACGTATTGGAGAAAGAGTATGCAGGGCTAATAACCAGGTCGCCGGTGTCCCAGCTCGAACGCTATTATTCCACGTGAAAAGCGGTGCGCTATCGTATAATCGATAATTTTGCCTATCTACCAAAATGTAATATTCCGGAGGGGGTCGGTTCACGTGGTAGGAGACGGCAATAAAAGCCCAAGGGACATTCCAGGGGCGCAGATGCAGTAACACGACCGATAGGTGCACAGCACGAAGAATTATACGGCCATAGGGCGATTTTCACGTAGGTGGAGGTTAGCACGAAGTATTATGCCGGTGCGGCATTGCTTACCGGGACTAAAATTTAATATCCGGCAACGGGGTGTAGCCGGCCGCTACACTGAAATTTAATATCCACAATAATCTTGCATCACCTTCCCGCGACGTTAGCGTAGGTCGGGATTGTCGAGGACATCGACCTCGTAACGGAGGGTGCTGCCGGACTCATTAATAGTCGTAGAAATTAATTAGATTTAAGAACGCCGGCCGGCTTGCTTTTGCGCCGGGACACGGATTGAAAAAGATGATACTCGGTAATTAAAACGTAATATCACGCCAAGTCGTGCTATTAATTAGTAAGCTTAATTAGTAATCCTTTTAATTGGACGCGACGCGGCGTTGTTAATGCCGTTTGAGAATGATCTTGCGATCCCTTTTCCGCGATCTCCGTTCTTCTGCTACGTAATTATTACGTGTGGATTTGTTACGGAAAATTCTACCCAACTTTCTTCGATCATTAAATTTTACTACGCCTCTAAAAATAATTAAAGAATGTTCGGTATTGTTTGTTCCGCTTCTGGGAAAATTCAGTTACACCATTTTTGCCGATGTTTGTGAACTAATTTGCAGCGCAACGTAACTTCAACTTCTTTGTTAATTGGATGGTTAGCACGGTGCTTGCTGCAGTGAAAATGGATGTATGATCGCACTGCAAATACGCAGATTGAGAACGCAAATTACAGTACAAATCACATATTACAAATTCTATTCATCAATAAATGGAAAGTTATTAATAAACATTATCCTGTTTCACTTATTCTCGCACCAAAAATCAACCCCAATTTACCATACAATTTACTCGAACCTAATTTTCAAATCTCAATAATCACCTAACATGCAATCACCTCATAAAAACAAATCAAAGGATTCCTAAAAAGATGAAAGCCGTCGGCACAGAATTAGATGTAATTTCTTTGCAGATTCGCTTCAAAGATTTTAGCATTGAAGAAACCACAATTAGTAACGCGGACGATATTGTAAAAAAAAATTGCTAACGAGAAGCCCGGACGAAGCGAAGGTACAGAAGCTTAATTCAAAAGCCGAGCAGAAAGGCGCGGGTCCGCTAAAACAGCGGTACACAGGGCGAATTTTATGTCTCGCGCGATAACAGCGACGGTTCACGGTGCACCAATATCTTCGCGTCGAGAGAGGTGTGCGTTTTTACGGCGTCTTTTTGTACGGTCGCATAAAAGTTACGCCGGTCCGCCGTTCCTCTCTCGAAAACCGAACGACAATAGCCCTGTTGGATAGAAGCCAGACCTGTATTTTTTCTTTTGCCCGTTATCGCCAATGAATATGTTCCTCCTGACGGCCCGGTACAATTATCAAATTTGTCGGCCCGACGAGACAAAGGGAGAGGAGTCGGAAACATGCTGATACGATATTAGGCGCTGGTACAATCTCTGGGAGGTTCTTGTTGCAGGCATATGGTTATTGTCTAATTTCAATTTTTGGATTTTTCGATTCTTCAATTTTTGGATTTTTCGATTCTTCAATTTTTCAATTTTTCAATTTTTGGATTTTTCAATTTTTCAATTTTTCGATTCTTCAATTTTTGGATTTTTCGATTCTTCAATTTTTCAATTTGCCACTTTTTCAATTTTTGATTTTTCCAATTTCTCAATTTTTCAATTTTTTAGTTACTCAATAATTTAATTATTCACTTATTCAAATTTTCCATTTTTTAATTACTCAATTTCTCAATTTTTCAGTTACTCAATTACTCAGTTACTCAATTACTCAATTATTCAATTACTCAATTACTCAATTACTCAATTACTCAATTATTCAATTACTCCATTATTCCATTATTCAATTATTCAATTATTCCATTTTTCCATTGTTCCATTATTCCATTATTCCAGTATTCAATTATTCAATTATTCCATTTTTCCATTTTTCAATTATTCAATTGTTCCATTGTTCCATTGTTCAATTATTCAATTATTCAATTGTCAGTTTTTGAATTTCCCAATTTTCCAAATTAGCAGACTCTCAAATTTCCTCATACCCAAATATTCCCAAACATCTACAATTTGAAAATAAACATAGTTCTCAAACTTTCAAATACCGATATTCCAAGATCCTCAATTTACAAAATACTTGATGTTAGAAGCTCACACTCTAGATCTCGAAATTTCCGTACTTCGAAAATCGAAGCAGCAATTCGAAGCCCGTAGCGCGTAGAAGCAAGGAATGATGGAATACGGCGTTATGACAAGTGTGGAAGGTGCGACCACAGATCAAACCAGTGTCAAGTATGCTGTCTTCATCGGGCGAGATTTATGTCACGCCGTGGTTGTCGCAGGCGAACTCATTACTAAGTCTCCGTGGCACTATCATCAACAGACTCGTGTCTGGTTTATGATAACAGTGTGTTGAGGTCAGGATCCGTTGGAAGGAATCCGCAGCTGAGCAAGAATTAGTGAGATCGGTTCTACGCCATAGATCAACATCTGTCAAAAGTAACAGCAGTTTCGACGTCGTAAATTTATGATACATTATGGTTATTGAATTTCGCGTACGTCCCGCGAATACATACTCGATGTTGAAGTAAAGTATGTACCCGATGGAATAGAGGCAATGAGGAGCGTGTAGTTGGCGAAGTTGGAGAAGTAAAGACCGGTGGCGGAATAAGAGGTCACAGATCAACCTGTCAAGGATATTGTCTTCATCGTCTTAGATTTACGACGTCTAGCCATTCAACTCCTTATGTGAGATTCTTGCTACGATGCTTTCGGAATTATAGTCCGAGATAAAAAGTTTCATTAGAAAGAAAATTATACCATTGTTACACGAGTGGCTTTTTATTTTAAGTCCTTCAAGTCCACATTCTTGGTTTTTGTATCTTAGGTAAGGACTTTTAAATATTTTCACGAGGAAATGAAAGTATAACTTGACAGTTAAAATATAGCATTGCTTGTGTGACGCAGATGATGTGCAGATGATATATTTTTGCAACTGGTGTGCTATGGTGATAGGGAATGTAACAAGTATGAATTTAGTATGTAACAATGTCACATATAAAGAGAATCCACTTCATATGGGAAATGTACGCTATGTAACCACATAATCGGTGTCCTACCAGAAGACAGCAAATCCAATATAAACCCTCTGGTATGATTTCGATTGAAAAGAATACGTGTTCAGCGTACTGGTTGCCTAAGGGAAATTAAATTTCGGCAATTTCTTTTGTCTTTTCCGTTCTTTCTCCATCTAGATGGAAACTACATTTTCTGACCGGAATCGTGAAACTCTTGATACAAATCGAAAGACATGTTACACAGTCTGTGACAAAAGTACACGCCTTGTGTACACGTGTGACATATGTGACACATGTGACACATCTTACATACTTGATCATAGATTCAGTCACATACAGATGTTTCCAATATTCCATAGATAACAATGTGATCACTAAAAACTAGTTTTTCATAAATATACTTGTCCATAAAAGTATTACCCTAAATTCGCTGTAGCTGCAAGATTATCTTTGCTCATTGTATAATCTCAGATAACAAACCTTCCACAAATACTCCACTAAATCCAAATATCCGAGGGCTGCGAAGTGAATTTAATCGATAGAGGATGTTCTGCGTTAATCAATTATTCTTAACGATAATTCCCCGTATTCATTTGTGATTCTGACTGTATATCCACCACATTTACCCACGTATATCAGGTCGTAGTTAATTCTCGTATCCGACGTTCTACACCGTCCCGAATCTGTTCTTTCGTTTACTTTACAAGGATTTCTATATTGTACATATTTGCTCAAAACAGTCGCGACAAACGACCGAGAGTTTTTAATTGTTCACGCGAGAACGCATCAATTGAATCTTTTTAATTACTCTGCTAGCTGGACATTGTTTTACCCTTTCGCTCCAAACGTCTTCTATGGCGTCTTCTGAATGAGGCAGTCTATGGACTTTTAAGGATAATTGCGGACCATTGTTGGTATGTGAATTTTT